CCAATTCTTGATATTTATATGCTTATAGACTTTGATGGTCTTACTTCATAGGTTTACTTCAGTTTTCCATTAACTTTTACCCTTCTGTGTTGCTGAAAAGGAACCCAGTGTCACTGAATAGCCTAACAGTGGGATCTGTGGTAACAAGGACTGCAATTGAAATTTACCTAATTTCAGTATGGGACAAGAAGTTCAGGGTGGCAGAAGCCATGTAAAGCACCTAATAATCAGAGGCAAAATTGTCATGGTTGCTATAGTGGACATCAATGATGGAATTCTAATAGCAAGTATTTTAACCAAGGAAAATCCTAATCAGTAAGGAGGTGAACAATCAGGCAGGCAAGAATAATTCTTCAACCTCTTCCCCCATCCTGTTGTCTTCTCAATGGGTTCATTCACAAAGTTGCTGTTGTTGCAGAAATGGAAACTGTGGTAGATGCAGCAAAATGGATTTGCTCTTACCAAGATTGACTGCTGCTCAATATTTAACTGGCCTGTAACAATGACCAGTCCTGAACTGCTAATTTGGAACCAGGCCTGAACTCCTAATGTGATACTTTACCCTGGGGGCAATTGGTTGTATTGGATTCCTTCTATCGTGGAGGAAGCAGTGATTTGTCGTAAATGCAATAGTTTCTCATTCCAGATTTGTATTCAGCTTCCTGTTCATGATATTAAAGCAGTAGAGCAGAAAACTCTGTGAACTTAAAAAAAAAAAAAAAGCTACCTTGAACCATGACTCATTCTAAAGTCCAAGAAAATTAATTTTTTTAATTTTATATATTTTTACATCATTTTTAATTTTGCACAATTTATGCATTTTCATCTTGGTTGTATTCCCCATACAATTCCCAGCCCCCTTGTTTTGATCCTACTTCCTCTCCCCCCACCCCCTGCCCCGCAGTGTGTCTCTGGGGGAGACTGTCTTTTTTCCTGCTCCCTTATTTAGGTTTTCTAAATTCCTGCTATGAGTGAGACCATCTGGTATTTTTCTTTTTCTTTCTGGCTTATTTCACTGAGCATGATCCCTTGGAGCTGGAAAATTAAGTTTTTATTAAAATGAGCAACAGGGCCTCTGCTGGTGGCGCAGGCAGTTGAGCGCAGCACTGTGAAGCTGTCTACAACCTCTGCTGGGCCCACCGGGAGAGGGTCCCACATGGCATGCAGACATCTCCTGCCGCCCGCTGCTCCCCTCAGCAGTGTACCTCGTCAGTCTGCCTCCTCTGCTCTCCCCTCTGGCTCTGGTGAATTCTCTCACCCCCTGTGCTTCTGACTGTACCCAGTGCTTGTATAAATAAATAAATAAATCTTTAAAAGAAAGCAGCTGAGCTATGAAGTCCTAGAAGTGGATTGCCCTATTTTCATATTATCCCTCATTGCCGAATCAAGCTCAACCAGAGACTGTTCTGAGAATTTTGTGTCATCTTTGCCCCGAAATGAATTTCTCTTATTTAGCCTCAGGGAGACTTGGATCATTTATTCGCAGATTACTGGGCTGATCTTTCAAACTCAAGGCTTCTCAAGGTTGTAAAGTCATCTGTCCATCCAATGAGACTGTTATAAAGGAACCTAAGCTAAGCTACTGGGGGCCACTGAGGTTTATGCAAAAGCTGAATTCCTCAGGATTCTGTGGTCGTTTTTTTTATAGTCATCCTTACTGTTTTCAGATACAATGAGAAGTATTTCTTCTCGGTATGACATGCATGGCAGTGCTACATTTTCTTTTCATTGCTGTGTGAGGACAGGAGAAGAAATGACTTCACATAGCCTTCTCACCTTACTGCCTTCTTCCCAAAGAACCCAAGGAGGGACTTAAAAAACCTAAGGAGATTTTGAGCAGAAATGAATGAGAAAATAATTGTAGGATTTAGATGATTAAACCATCACCATTTAGACATCAAGGCTGGTGCCCAGCAGGGTCTGGGCACTGTATACAAATGTATTTGTTCCAGTAAGTTCTCTTCCTACTTAGGTTTTTCAGCCATCTGTGCTTTTCTTTGTGGAGTATGAGTATATTCAGACCATTTGCCTTCCTCAGGGTGAGAGTCTTCCTCAGAAGTTACTACCTACCTACATAATGTTCAATTTTGTTTCTCTTACTTGCTAGTTGTCTCTCAACATCTATCCCTTTTTCCTTAGATTAAGGATCCACAGACTTTTTCTATAAAGGGCCAGAGAGTAAATATTTTCAGCTTTGCAGTCATATGACCTGTTGTGCCTACTCAATTCTATGGCTGTAGCAAAAGCAGCCTTAAACAATATGTAAATGAATGGGTGTGGCTGTGATCTAATAAAACTCTATTTACAGAAACAGATCTCAGGTCAGATTTGGCCTGCGGGCCATCCATCTTTGGCCAATTCTTGCTTTAGAATGTTCTACGCAACAATGTGCCCGTTAGAAATTGTCGCTTTCCTGGACTCATGGCATCCAGAGGTAGTCATGGCCCAAGAAGCATCAGCAGATGACTTCTATAGCTTTCAGGAATTGCTTATTTTCCTGAAAAATATGTCATGATTTGCTCCTTCCTTTTCTTCCCCACCCCTTCCACTTTTGTGGGATTGGTCTCCCCAAAGGGGAAGGTAAGTTTTTCCTTAATATGCACAGAGTAGGTCTCTTCCAATAAATGTCATCTTGGTATGGGAAATTAAAGGGTAGCTGAGGTCCTGTGAGCTTCAGGTATCTGTTCCCACTACTTAAAGAATGCAGTTTAAGAGCAGTGAAGTCCCTAGATGCTGAAAGAAGCTTTCTCCCTGTCTCAGTCATTTGCCCTTTTTCAACTGAAGAAGCAATCACTGTTCTGCTTTTATGACCGAGAGAAATGTGGTTTGTGCACTACCATCCAGGATTAGGTTTATCGGTTGTACATGTCCTCCCTATTTGTGTTTCATCTTTTTAAATCTAAGAGTAAATAGATGAGGTCACCCCCTCCTCATCTGTTATGTGAAGTCTCCTCTCTTTCCTTGATGCCCTGGGTGTCTTGAAATGCAAGATAAATATCCCTGTTCTACTCCATATTACTTTAGAATTTACAACCATGCAAATTCTCCATATGTATATTAAATTGATTTTCCCTTTGCTAACTCTTCTGATGCTGTTTTGATTATTCATCCATCCTAAGAAGAATCCAGAGGGGTGGGAAATTATCTTCTGAATCCTGACATTCCCATAACATGAGCATGAAACCTGAAGGAGCAGCTGCTATCTCTAGGAACTCTGAGGAGAGAGCATGAGGAGGAAGGCCAAGGTCTTCCAGAAAGTGTGATTCTCCCACAATGTTGTGGTTTTCCCTCAGCCCTGGGTTCTCTACCCCATGGCTTCTTGTTTTTGAGACAAATTCTGTTCATTTAAGTCATTAGGCTTTGTAGCTAACTACACTCCCAGTAGATTAAAAAAAATAAAAGCAGCACAAACATAATATAGAAAATACCAAAAAGTTGAAAAGGGAGAGGAAAACATACTGTCTTATCACACATAAACATATAATGTCACAGAATGATAGCCTTTGTTACTCTTAAGATCACCTTTCTTGTGCTCATGTCAGGCAACTGATTATATTTCTGAGTGCAAAGCACCAAAAAGATGAGTGTGATTTGCCCCTTGAAATTTTTCTAGATGATGCAAAGCGAAGTTTTGATAGGACTGGAGCAATGGCACTCCTGAAATTTCAGAGCTATTAAATACTTCCTAGAGTTTGTAGGGTGATTGTTGTTTGCTCCCTAGAATATGGCAAATGTGGTCCTTATCATAGTTCTTCTTAAAAGTCCTTTAGATAGCCAAGAAAAAGTTTCAGACCTGAAACTCTACCTCAGAAGGAAATCCCAGCCTTCCCAAATCAATAACAGAACAATGACCTAGTCAATAGAAGGCATTAAAATAATTAGATATTCATCAAGCAAAAAAAAAAAAAAAAAAAGCTAGATCCTCACATAACATCATGTACAAATTTCAGGTAATAAGTTAGATATTAAAGTATTTGTGGTAATCACTGTCCTTGATCCCTTTCCCCCCACTTCACCCCAAGGGATTAATCTAAGGCATAATGGTGATCATTTCCCGGGGCGGTAATTGGCCAAGGCAAGAGATGAAGTTGTTGAAGCTTTCGGAAAAGATGTTCACATTTCTAAGGAAGAAAAACAGGAAAATGTTTTTGACCTTCTGGATTTGCTATGAAATCTGCATGTGAAATTTGTACTTGAGCCACCTTGCTGGCAGTTTAAAATAAAGCCAGCCTCAAAGATGCGATACAAAGTGGTCAAGATCAGGATAACCTCAGATCAGATGGTATGCCACTGATCATACCATCCCTAAATCCTCTTCACTTCCGGACCTATTTATTTACTTATTTACATAAATAAAGGTATCATTGTTTTACGCTATAAGAGCCTAAGGGAAATAATACATTTCCTTATTGTGACAACATGGGAGAATAAGTAACGTGGAATTAAGAAGTGTTTTTTTAATCCTGACAAAATCTGTGAAGGAAAATAGTAACATACTTGATTATGTTTACAGGTATCCTGTGCTTTTTGAAAGTTCGACTTAGCACCGCTTCGTTTTTTACAGAAGACCCACATTAGTCCCTGTTTTTGCTAACCAGAAGAAATCTGAAAGGAGTCCACTTTTACAACAGAAGTCACAAGGTGTCAGAAGTTGCAAGGTGAAAGCAGTCTTTTGTGTCAGTTTTTTCTAAAGGCAGTGCAGGCCCTGAGCTGTGAGAGCAGCACCATCAAGCTCCTTCCCTGGAACCACACTCTGTGCTCCCCTGACAAGGGAAGATCTGATACAAGTACAAGAGGAAAAGATACTTATGAATTGAATCCAAACCTAACAGTGAAGGGCCTGGAACTCAAGCCTTCTAGGAAGTGACCTTGAAGCACACAAGTGAGATCCTCATTGTACCTCACAGGGCTACAGTAATGCAGAGAGTGTGACTTTAAATTTGAAAGGGCACATTCCCTTTAGGGAAGGTTTGCAGGGTGCCTTGAATGAGAGAAAAATGCATGAGGCTTAATAGTTAAGTACACTATTGTATTCCAAGCCTTGTACATCAGCCACTGCAGACCATAAACCTTAACCATCAAGGCAAGAGGCAGATCTGGAAGGTGTAAATCTTAGTGACCTGCCTGCCCTTATGGGTTCAGACCACCCTGAGAAGTTAGCAGGTGATGCATTTCCTCTTGCCCCCCACACCCCAGTCTCCCGGATCTTCCACCACCCCTGCCTTTGATGACTCAGCCTGACACACCGCCATCACCATCTCTCAGCCTGCAGCTTGCGCGCCATCTTCCCCTCTGGTGGTAAGTGAAACTACCCTGCATGGGCAATATTCTACTTTGTACAGGCTGGGCCTTTATCCTATCATCTCTGCTTTACTATGTTAGTGTTATTTTAGGTTTTATGTGTTATTTGCTATGATTTGGTAGGATTTTTTTTTAAATCTGGAAACACTAAAAAAATGCTCTTCCATATCAGTTAATACATGTTTGCTTGATGCCATTTCAGTTTATGAAAGGCTTCAGGTGATCTCTCTACTTTTGGGGAGCAGGGTAAACTTATCTTTAATACTCCATATACTTACTTCATTAAAACAAATGATGGAGCTACAAGGGGAGAAAATGTTTGCAAGGCACATAATAGATCAATGAACTATTATTCATAAGCCTCTGGAGATCCACATCGATAAGAAATGAAGAAGAAAAAACTCCAAAAATAAGCAAAAGATATAAAAACACAATTCACAGAAGAAATGTGATGGACAATAAACATGATAAGGTGATCAAACCTCTCTGGTAAATCAAGAAAATGAACATGAAAACAGCTTATTAAATTGGGCAAAAATTTAAATAATCTTAGCATCCATTTTTGGATATTGATGGGAATGTAATTGGCGTGGCCTTGTTGGAGGACAATCTGCTAGGATCTACCAAAACTTCAAAGATATTTATACTTGAGAGAGCATGTCTGCATTAGAAAAGCATATACTACATTATTTATTCTAAAATAATGTGCACACAAATGATCCCTAGGAATGCATAAAAGTGGTCACTGCAGCATTTTGTCATTGCTAAAGATAAAAAAGAACCTAATTATTAATTTTAACATTTACAGGAAAGAATTAATAAATGACAATATATTCAAATTATGAAATGCTCTGTGGCATTTTAAATAAGGCAGGTAATTATGACCCACAATTGAAAAAGCCCTCCAAGTCATATCCCTATGAGAGAAAGAAAATCACAGAAGTTAGGTAGGTAGGTAGACAGATGGAAGATAGATAGTAGCAGAGGGAGGGGGAATAGAGATATAATAAGCCAGATCTTATAAAAATGTATTAGAAATAAATCTACTGTAAGATTTGGGCATCTTTTAATATATGAAATTGGAATTCATCTCATGATTTCTGGCATATCATAAATTAACTGGTAGTGTTTTCCTTTCTTAAATGTATAGAAAACAATGGTACTGTTTTAAGTAGGTGCATCTTTAATGTCAATATAATATAATAAAATATAGATGATAGACATGCAACAGGGTGGTCCCCAGGAAAGGGGGAGGTTCCCTGCCCCACCCAAGAGAGGGTGGAGCTGAGCAGGGAAAGAAGAAGCTGCAGAAGAGACTGAGGAAGGAAGGAAGCAGGATGGAGCCAGGAGACCTGGAGGAGGCGCATGGAGCCTAGAGACACGTGAAGAAACTGTGCTTGTCTTTTGGTCGTGGACTGGGTGACACAGATGTGGGTGAGACCCATGGGGAGGTGACAATGGCAGCTTTTATCTTGATGTTGATTTTGCTCTTTTCCTTTCGGGCTTTTCTGGTTGTTTCTGACCCTTTTCTGTGGGTCCCCACTGGAAGATGCTTTAGACTTGAGGCAGGATTTGGGGCCTTGTTCTGGGCCAATCCCATGTGGATGGAGTTTTACCCACAAGGGGACGGGTAACTCTGGGTGCTTCATTTAGAAACTAGACTCTGCCTTACCTGTATTGTTTCCTAGTTTTATTAAAGTTCCTTCCCATTAAAGTCTCATATGTTTTGTGTTGATGCGGCGGATGGCAGAACCCATTTAAAATAGGCAGGTTTGCGGGGTTTGGGCTGCCCCTCTCCCTGTCCTATAACAGACAGATGATCAATAGATAGATGCTAGAAAACTGAAGGGATCAGGACCAAATTGATTGCAGTATTTAGCTCTACCTTTATTTAGCACACTGAGAAAGTATTTATGACTATTTCTATATACACTTTTTTTGTATACACATTTAAAAAATTCTAATTATCCAGTTTAATCTTTATTACCTTAAATTCTTTCTTGTTTTCTTTTTGTTTGCATTTGCCTGACATATCCCTACTCCATTCTTTTATTTTCAACCATGGTATCACATACATACATATACATATATATATATATATAAAGCCATTTCGTTAAGCAGTCATTGGATTGCTGTGTTGTTTTTTCTCCATCCTGGATCTTTTTCTGTTATTAAAGTGGTTTGAAAAAACTGACATTTGTTGACATAACTGTTACGACTGGTGTTACTTCTGTCATCTTGCTTTATGTCTTACATTTTCTTTACTTTTTAGTTTGCCTTTTGCTATATGGGTAGTATTTTGTTTGCATTAATCTTCTGCATTGGCTTAGATACTGCATTTCCTGCTTTAAATTGTATGAGTGGTGACAAAATTATAAAGTAATTCTAAACTCAAATGCATCAGCCTGGATTCAGTCAGGTAAACAGCTGTCTAGTTGTGGTATTCCGGAATGAAAGGTGCAGTACAGGAACTGGGGACTGACCCAACTTTGGAAAAACAGGGCTGTGAAGGCCAGCAAATCCACCACCAAGATAGAGTCATAAGGTCTGAGGCAGGTGGTTCTCGGGAATTCCTAGGAAGTCACAGTGATGTCACAGGGATGCCCACTTTTCTGGTCACAACTATTTCAGGAAAATAATCATCTTTCCTTCCCACATTTCCAAGGATGTTTCTTCTGGGCAGAATGTCGCCCAGGACTGTATGGGAAGAATTATTTCACAAAAGGCATTTCCTAGTTTCTCTGTAGCCACACAGATTAATAGCAAGTTGATCATCAACAACCAAAGAGCATATTTTCTATTTTATTAAAAAGTAAACATTCGCTTTTTGCTTTGCTTTATGTGGAATGAGGAATCAAATGTTCTTCCTTACTCACTTTTCTCCACTTCCAGTAATTTTAACTGAAAACTTAAAAAATAATTATGTATTTCAGTTGATTTTTTTATAATCAAGTTCCTAAAAGCACATTGACAATTGTGTGTGTGGCGGGAGTTGGGGAGTGGTGGTAACTTGCTTCAATACTTCTGGTTCTTTCCTCCTTTGTCCTAAGATCTGACTTAGGAATCATGTCATAATGTTCCTGTGGACATTCTCAGAGAAACTTCAGGAGGAGTAGATGGGAGATATATATATATATGTATATATATACACACACACACTTAGTTCTTGCATTTTTGAGACTATCTTTTGGTTCTTAGGTCACATAGATAATGGTTTTCCTAAATTTATAGGAATTTCTGAATATATGTAGACATTTCTTTATCATCTTTGGACACTATCATTATTGTGAAGGGAAAGTCTAAGGAAGGCCAGTTTTTTGTTTGCTTTTTCTTAGTAGCCTCTTTATACAAGATTGGATAATTGTTTGAAAAGCTTTTATTGAGGTATAGTTGACATGACATGTTAGCTTCAGTTGTACACCTTAATGATCTGATATCTGTATATATAGATAGTAAGTCTAGTTAATATCCATCCCCACATTATACACACACACACACAAACACACACAACATTTTTTTCTTTTATTCTCTTAGAAACTTCTAAATACGCGATATAGTCACCATGCTATACGATGTTGAACACTTTTTAATTGCCAATATTTGTAGCTACTGATTCTTTTGGATAAATACATTGAATACACATTCAGTTAGGTTGATTTTGTTTATAGAATCAAGAATATTGTCATTTATTATTGCTTCAGTTTCTTTCCTCAGTAGTATTACTAAGACAGATCCTGGGATCTGTTTTTCTACTGGATGTTTTTATTTTTAATTATTATTTTTCTTATGTAATTGTTAATTTTTGGACAGTATTCGATTTCTCCCCCTCAGACATAGCCCCCATAGTTCTTCCACCACCATAGAACCCATAATCTATCACCATAGTTCCTTGTGCTCTTCCCTTCCCTGTTTTGACTCCTTCCCCTTTGCTTCCACCTCAGTATGCCTCAGGTCTTGCAAGGTCACCTTGCAAGTTTTATTTTTTTTTCCTAACCCTTTGTTTGGTTTCTCTATATTCTGCCTATAAGTAAAACCATATGATGTTTATCTTTTCCCTTTTGACATTTCTTTTAGCATAATCCCTTCCAGCTCCATCAATGTTACCACAAATGGCATGTTTATCTTTTTTGATTGCTGAGTGGTAGTCCATATTGTATGTTTACCACATCTTCTTGATCCATTCATCTGTTTGGGGACTTTCACATTGTTTCCGTATCTTGGCTATTATAAACAGTGCAGCAGTAAGCATAGGAGTTCAGGTTTCTTTTTGAATTAAGGTTTTTGTGACCTTTGGATAGATTCTAAGAGTGAAATCACTAGGTCACATGGTAGATCCATTTTTAGCATTTTAAGGAATCTAAACACAGCCTTTCATAGTGGCTTGGCCAGTTTACATTCCCACCAACAGGATAAGAAAGAGTTCCGTTTTCACCACATACTCACCAGCACTTGTTGTTTCTGGGTGGTTGTTTTGTGTGTGTGTGTGTGTGTTTTAAGATGAGCTATTCTCACAGATGTGAGATGGTATCTCATTGTGGTTTTGATCTGCATTTCCCTGATAACAAGTGATAATAAACATTTTTTCTGTATACCTGTTGGTCATTTGCATATATTCTTTGGAGAAGTGTCTATCTCCTCTGTCCATTTTTGATTGGGTTGTTTGTTTTGCTTTTGTTGAGTTGCATAAGCTCTTTGTAGTTCTTCATTATCAGTCCCTTGTCAAATATGTGTTGTGAGAATATTTTCTCCCATTCAGTAGTGTCTCTTCATTTTGGTTACTGTCTTTTTTGCTATACAGAAGCCTTTTCATTTGATAAAGTTCCGGCTGTTTCTATTCTCCTTTGTTTTCCTTGCTTCTGGAGACGAGTCCTCAAGGATGTTTCTGAAACTTATGGAGTGTTTTTCCTGTGTTTTCTTCAATATATCTTATGGTTCAGGTCTTACGTCCAAGTCCTTTATCTATTTTGAGTTAATTTTTGTATATGTTGTAATATAGT